ACACCGGGGCGCCTGGGTGGCTCAGATGGTTGAGCGTCTGCCTTTGGCTCAGGTCATGATCCCAGGGTCCTGGGATCGAGTCCCGCATCGGGCTCCTTGCTCCTTGGGAGCCTGCTTCTCCCTCTGCTTCTCTCTCTCTCCCTCTCTCTCTCCGTCTCTCATGAATAAATAAATAAAATCTTTAAAAAAAAAAAATAATCTTTACACCGAACATGCAGCTCAAACTGACACCCCCAAGATCAAGAGTTGTGTGCTGCACTGACCCAGCCAGCCAGGTGCCCCGTTGAGTCTTAAAATAAGAAAAGGTCAGAGTTCTAAAATGTGCTCTTGGTTACTATGGTAGACAAAATCATGATCCCCAAAAGATGTCCTAGACCCTAAAACCTGTGAATATGTTACCTAGCATGGCAAAAAGGACTTTGCAGATCAGATAAAGTTAGGGATCTTGAGATGGGAAGATTTTCTGGATTATCTAGGTAAGCCCAGTATAATTATAAACATCCTTATAAGAGGAATGCCAGAGTGTCGGGGAGAGAGGTTTTTTAAGATGCTGTGCTCTGGCTTGAAAAGGGAGAAAGGGCCACAGAATGAAGGTAGAGGGAATAGACACTCCTTCAGAGCCTCCAGAAAGAACACCACCTGGCTGACAGTTGGATTTCAGCTTAGTAGGACCTATTTTGGAATTCTGACCTCCACAATTGTGAGAGTAGATTTGTGTTATTTTAAGCCTCTAAATGTGTGGTAATCTGTCAGAACAGCAATAGGAAACTAATACAGTTAGCATTAAATGCCATTCTCCTCCACTGTCAGGTTTTATGTTGGTTGCAATCTGTGCATCTGTCCGTGGGGCCTTTGTCACCTCCTGTGAAGTCATGGCTCATTTCTGTTATGGAAAGAACAAAAGTGAAAAAGCCATTTAAGGCTTAAGCCTTAAATGGTATGAACAACCTTCAGAAACAAAGCGTAGAAGATGATGTAATTATTTTTGTTGAGAAGACTATTAACTTTCTGTCCAGAGTCTAGATAATCAAGGACAGTAGTTTTATCAGACAAGAGAAAACTAATAGCTACAAAAATTAAAATTTTTTTCCTAATGCCTATTGGCTATTTATGTAAGTGTAAAGAGTCTTAAAAGTGAGACAGGTATGATGAACTTATGTTCCCCTATCCACGGATAAAATTTAAACCCTAAGGGTGGTAAATTAGGAGTTAGAAATTGCCGTTAGGATTATTTTATCTCCAGCTGTAATTCCATTTGTAACCAGGAGATGGCAGAATTGACACACAGATGAACTGTTCAGTTATAGGGGTTTTGCTTCTAAATGATGGTATAGAAAGATATACCCTATATATTAATTTGGAAACCTGCTTCCCAGAATTTTGAGAACTACACAAAGAATGTAGAATAAAAGGCAAGTAAGTAAATTGCGCATTTCAAAAATTTTCAGGGCGTCACGAGGTTTCTCTCCCTCATATTAATTTGCCACATTGGAGTTTACTCTGCCAAGTCAAAAGCAGCCTTTGCTTTGTGATTAAATTTTGGCTGTATTCACCTTATTTAGGTTTCTCTGTTGAACTTATGATAGATTTGCCTGTCTAAACTTGAAGAATTAGCTGATACTAAACTTTGAAACTTTAAGTTTATTAGGTATATATAAATATGATCTTTAATGAGAAATAATTCTGGAGATGATAATCAAAAGATACGGGTTTCACCCTTGCCTCCTAAACCAAGTAGTGCTCTGACCTTTAATAACTTCTGTCTCAGATTTGTATGTATTTAAACATGCTGACAATTGGCTTCTAATGTCAGAGGCATATTTACAGGCTGTTGATTAGGTTTCCCGGAGAAAAATAAAAATCAGGTAAGTTATTGTGAGCTGTGCTGGCATAGTTGGGGAAAGGATGTAATGTTAATGGAAGGCACTATTGGTGATGCCCAGTGACCTTGAAGAGCATTTCAGGAGTGAGAGGACAGGGGCGCCTGGGTGGCTCAGTCAGGTAAGCACCTGCCTTCAGCTCAGGTCGTGATCCCAGGGTCCTGGGATCGAGCCCCACGTCGGGCTCCCTGCTCGGTGGGGAGCCTGCTTCTCCCTCTCCTTCTGCCCCTCCCCCTGCTGTGTATGTTCTCTCTCTCTCTCTCTCTCTCAAATGAATAAATAAAATCTTTAAAAAAAAAGTCAGAAGTGATACTGTGACTAGCTGGCAGTGAGGTATGGAGATGTGGAAGGTGGCTGTGGCAATGAAAGGTCCAGAGATTTAGCGGCATCTCTCTCCCTCTTTCTCCTTTGCCGTCATTCCTTTTACCAAATGGGAGGCCAAAGTTCACTGTAGTTTTTCCCCTTTTCACACACTTAGTCTTATGACCTATAGTTCTGCATCTTGGCGTTTAATAAATACTAAAAGGAGACATTCAGCTCTCCATTGCAAAAATAAATTAAAAGACTTGCCAGGTAAGTTTTTATTTATGTCAAAGAAAGAAAAAATCTTGATAGCAGCTTCATTATAATCAGTTTTTTAAAAAAAAAATTTATTTATTTATTTGACAGAGAGGGACACAGTGAGAGAGGGAACACAAGCAGGGGGAGTGGGAGAGGGAGAAGCAGGCTTCCCGCTGAGCAGGGAGCCCGATGTGGGACTCGATCCCGGGACCCCAGGATCACGCCCTGACCCGAAGGCAGATGGTAAACTTCTGAGCCACCCAGGCGCCCTATTATAATCAATTTTTAATCTAAAGTTTATTGTGTTTTGGGTATGTTTAATTCTAATGAAGCCAGTATTGTATTTTAATGTTGATAAAAGAGAGGAACATGTATTTTCTTTATGTAAAACCTTAGTCATTTTGTCTTTTGATAGACCTTTGACATACAAAACACTCTTGGGTTTAATGAAATGCCACCATTCCTGTGTCATGGATTCGTACTGAACCCTAGATTTGTGAGGAAAGAATGCTCTAAAGAATGGATTTACCAAGAGACCTACAGATAACATTTCCTTTCCTGGAATCACAGTCCTGTAACGTGTTTTTGTTCTTGTGCAGTGAAATACCCTGTTATGGCTCAAATTCAAATCCAAGAAAGATCAGAGTTAATAGAAAACCAAATCGAAGGCAGCAGAGTTACTGGAGGAAGTAGACAGTGGCCTCTCTCTTCTCCCGAAATCGCCATGCTGCGCAAGCCAGGAGGCCGCGCTCACTGCTTTGTACCTCTTCAGTTAGCGAGATTGCTTTTCATCCCAGAACCTTGGCAAAGTTTTTGTTTTGCTTCTGTATTTTTAAGAAATAAAAACATAATGTAAGAACATGAAGGGTTATGAAGCATGAAGTTCCATAAATATTTATGCCAAGCCACACGAGTAGACAATTCCTATTTTCTTGACATATTGGGGTCATACTTCACTCTTCACCTCTTGAATTGAAAAATACAAGGAGTTAGTGAACCTTTTCTTTCTTTTCTCTTTCCTTTTGTATTTATTTTCATTTCTTTAATGCGTTTTAGATGCTGGGAACTATCCTTTTAGGTTCATGGAAGTTTCAATGAACTTTGTTTTATGTCCTGGTTTATAAGTATGGATTTAAAAGTTTACACACTTACCAAGAGTAACATGATTTATACCTAGTTTTAGGCTTTAGTGGTAAGGTGTTTAATCTGTTTTTTGTGTGTGTGTGATTATCTCTAAATTAAAAATAAGTATTTGTCAAGGTTAATAAGTGGGATTGCTTCGAAAAGAATATTTTATTATTTTTAAAGATTTTATTTATTAGACGGAGAGGGAGAACACAAGTTGGGGGAGGGTCAGAGGGAGAGGGAGAAGCGGACTCCCCACTAAGCAGGGAGCCCGATGCGGGGCTCCATCCCAGGACCCTGAGATCATGACCTGAGCTGAAGGCAGATGCTCAACCTACTGAGCCACCCTGAAAAGCATATTTTAAGTTAGCCCTTTCATTTTATATTCTTCCTCAATTAAAATCTTTGGTCCATAGCAGATATATTTACCCTTTGATACTATGTTGAAGAAACTTATCAAGTAGGTAATACCTATTGGTTTTAGAGAATTTGGAAGTGCTGGTAGGTAGAAAAGATAAAATCCCACTTTGTTTTTTTAAGTCTATGTAACTATATATATAGGTAATCTAACATTAAGTACAAAGATAAAAATATTTAAAAAATTCTGGAGGGGGACCTGAGTGGCTCAGTTGGTTAAACCGCCGACTCTTGATTTTAGCTTGGTTCATGGTTTCAGGGTTGTGGGATCGAGCCCTGCATTGGGCTCTGCATTCAGCACAGAGTCTGGTTGGGATTCTGTTTCCCTCTGCTCCTCCCCTTGCTCTCTCTCTCTTAAATAAGTAGGTAAATCTTTTTTTAAAAATTTCTGGAATATTGGTTGTTGACCACTCAGGCGTGAATATGGACCAGTCAGGACCTAAGTCAACTTGAATGCTGGAGCAGGGCCCAAGAGTACCTGGAGTTTCTCCTCGGTTGTTTCGTGGCGGTGGTCAGCAGGGCAGTGGGTGGGGGTGGTCTGGGGTGCTGGGGTTGGGAGCCTCTTGAGGCTGGGGTGGGTGGTGAAGTAGAAAATGAGGTATAACCAGGCGATGAGCAGTCTTGCCTCTGTTGATGTGTGCATTATTGACAGTAAAGCAAAAGCCCCTTTGGTTCATTCTTTCAACCTATTTTCATGTGATCACTAGATGATGCTGTTCTAGGTGTTGGGGATTCAGAATAAGTAAATGTGTTTCTTGCCATTTGAAGGGCTTACAGAGAGATGGGCTTAGCACAACATGCAAAAGGATCAGGACAAGGGAGGGGAGGTTCTGGGCTGACAAAATAATGCATGTCCACTAAGGATCTAAGGTTTTTAAGCTGAAAAATACCTTTTGACATCTTGCACTGAGCCTGTACATTATCCCTTTTTAACTCTAGTTTCTTGCTTATTAAAAGAATTTCAACTTTCATAGCAGTTACTTCTTTTTTAGGATGTAATTAAATTATGTATTTTAGGTTGCCTGCCTGATTCGAGTTCCTTCTGAATTGGTTAAGCAGAGGGCACAGGTATCTGCTTCTTCGAGAACATTTCATATTTTCTCTAACATCTTATATACAGAGGTGAGATGTGTTAAGCTTTTTTTCTTTATTGAGAAAGATTTTATAGTAGCTTTTATGAACATTGTGATTCTCATCCCAGTAGTCTTAGAAGAGACCATAAAGCTAAATTTAAGGCCCAATCACAGTACCTTTTTAATACTAAGATTATCTTTGCCTTTTCTTTGTTTTCAAATTTTAATTTTTCCCCCCAAATTTCTAAACAGTACATACCAAGTATCACTACTGTGTACATGTCCTACATTGTAATTGTCCTATAGTAGTTTCAGAATCAGACATGGAATAAATCGTAAAAATGTGAATTAAGATATCATATTAAAATGTTACTACAAAACTTGAGGACCCATGGAAGAGAAGGATAGTAATGGACATAGTGGCTAGCATCATAATGTTTATATTAAAATTCCTTTTTTACTTGTTGATGTTATGTTATGGGTCAGAAGTCAGTCTTGCTGGCCCTATTACTAGGGACCATTGAGATGCTTTTCTTTGTATTTTTTACAAAAGCCTTTTTTTTCTTTTAAGATTTTATTTATTCATTTGAGACACAGAGATAGAGCATGAGCAGGGGGGGAGGCAGAGGGAGAGGGAGAAGCAAGCTCCCTGCTGAGCCAGGAGCCCGATGTGGGCTCCATCCCAGGACCCTGGAATCATGACCTGAGCTGAAGGCAGACACGCTTAACCATCTGAGCCACCCAGGTGCCCCAGAAGCCTTTTTTTTTTTTTTTAAACAGTAATCAGTCACGTGGAAATTTTCATTGAGTCTAGGTTTTTCAAAAGTTATTCTTCTTAATGGTTCCTTTGTCACTTAGGTGAGGAGATACTGAGTATTTAATCATAGGATCATGAGATCAGTCTAGTAGAGGGACCCTGTTGTGAGTCATGTGGACAGTTAAGTAAGTCAAGGCTTGTCCAGAGATATTTATCACTATGGAGAGATTAATTGATGTCTTCTGATTGAAACTATGAAATATAATTCTGTTTTTATATGAAAGGATGATTGGCATTTTGTGTGCTTTTGCTTTTGGAAATATTTTTAAAGCATCTCAAGTATGATTTTTCAGGAGCAGAAATGTTGAAAACAACTGAAATAGTCTCTTTGATTATTTTAGAGATGTTCCTATGTTAAAGGGAGCTGACCTGAGCCTTTTATACTTGAGTTTATAACCTTTAACCTCTTACGGAACTGTGGTCATTGTGACTGTTTTAAAACTCGGACTTCAGAAAAGGTAGATCTGCCTTTTTCAGAATGTCATTCAGAACTCTCTGGTATTCTAACTTTCTGAGCTCTTGGCCTTTTGTTTGTTTCAGGGCATCCAAGGATTGTATCGAGGCTACAAAAGCACAGTTTTAAGAGAGGTAACTCACTTAATTTCTACTTAATTGAAGTGCAAAAGAATGATACGAGTAAAGTTATTCAGAGAACCTGCTTTAAAAAATTAAAAAGAGAATTTGTGATCACTTTTGGGAAACACTCTTTAGTCTTATCCTGGTTCTTAGATCTAACAAATGGGTAGAATGGGTTTGCTGAAAGAGCAGTCTCCCTGGTCAGAATGGCACGCATCCTGTGATGTGGTTGTTGCTAAGGTGGCTGAATGTCTGCTTTGGCTGAAATAATAAGAAACGACTACTAACGGTAAGATACCAAGTTAATTACCAGAATACACAGAATTAATGAAAACTTAGTAATGAAAGAAGTACTTGAAGAAACAAGTGTCTCAAAAGTCTGTATCATGCAGTCAACTCTTGTCTTCCTGATAACAAGGTACAGTGAGCTGGGGCGTTCGGTCGGGACTGGGGCCTTTGCAGGTGGCTTGCCACGCAGTGTGGCCCCAGCAGCCACTTCACCTCTTGTGACCTCTAACCCTAAAAGTTGGGGATTCAATACATTTCTTTTGCTTTTAGTTGAAAAAGCAAAGTGATGTCAGTGTCTTCCTGTCGGAAGTATGTTTTACTTTTTCCCTTCACATAGAGGACAATATTTTGAAGTTCAGAAGTTGATTTATGCAAGATTTATGACAGTCTTTGTGTGGTTTGGGGTATAGTTTTCTTTCTTTTTCTTTTCTTTTTTTTTTTTGAGAGTTTAACTCCTAGGATTTTTTTTCAGCTTTTGACAACTAAACTTGTAAGGTATTTAAAATGTACAGTGTGATGATGATTTGATATATACGCACACATACATATGTATACATTGTGAAAAGGATTGGCACATAATTTCCTATTAAAGAAAATACAAAGGGGAATCTGCATACCTTTGCTCTGTATTCTTTTTTCTACTTGGAGTTCCCTGGGTGCTAAAATATTTGCATTTATAAAAATGTTTTTAATTTAAATAAATATTGCTATGATTAGCAGAACATTGAAATTGTTTGAAATCCCTAGTTTTATTCCCAGGTAGTTTTTGTGTGTTTTGTTTTTTACTATAGACTACAATCTTTTTTATGACACACCAGCACTGTTACATGTTATTTAAAGCTTTGATTTCCACAAGGTAACAGCCTTTAGTGTAGTGTGGTGTAGTTGATGTAGATCTTTGAAAAACTTCCTTTGAAGGAAAACTGAATGTTTCAAAATTTGTTTGTGTGACGGTGACTTCTGTCTTTCAAAAATATCACCCACACTATGTCTTCATTCTGTACTTATTTTCTGATTCACTAAACATGTGTGATTTACTCAGATTTCACCGGGGTACAGCAAACCAGGGGGGGCACTGAACCTTTTTTTGTTTTTCTGAGAGATCCTGAATAAATGAATATATTTACATGCCAGGCATTACTGGTTTTGCATACAAACAGATAAAACACATGGTTACAACTGCATTCTATTCTTTTAAAAATTTGTTTTGACATATGTCACACTAGTAATTAATGTCCAGGCTGCAGTTTTTGCAAATAGTGTGACCCTACTGAGATGACTTTGTTTACTGAAAGTGGCAGTGCTTTGTTGGAAATTTAATTGGGGTCTTCTGCATTATGCGTATTCATAAAAGATCCTTCAGAACTGATTTTAGTTGAAATATTGCTTTTGTACAGATTCTCTGATAGAACGAGAGAAGAATTATCACAGAATGAAACATAGCTTCTTTTCAAAATGAGAAAAATAAGAAGTGATATATCTGCTTTAAACAAAATTTTTACATTATAAATAGTTTCAATTCTTACGGTATTGTGACACCAATATCAAATCTTTTTGCCAAGAGCTTCTTTGATTGTTTCAATAAGAAAATACATTGAAGCCTTAGTGAGAATCACCAGGAAACTTATATGGTTATTCTGTGTACAATTTCTTCTTTAAAACAGGTTTTATCTCCCTAGCGGCAGCCCATTAGAATGAGATTGAAGTTTGAATCCATGCATTATAAGATAGATTATGTGTGTTCTTTAGATTTTGTGAATGCCATCACATGTTTTTTTACTGCATTTGATGTTTGTGGAGATTGTGTGCTTATCCCTTATGTTTGCTTCAATTATTGTAGTTACTGTGAATTTTGGACGGAGTGTAAGCAAAGGTCAACAGATTATACTCTATACCTCAGCCTTTCAGTATTCGTTTGGCTAAATTAAATGCAGCCAAACCCTGAGCTGGAGTGGTGTTATTGTAGTAAGATGGAAATAGGGAGCAAAACTGCAGCTGCTTCTCTAGCTAGACTGATTTCAGAGCGTCCATTGTCCTGGAAGTTCTCAGGAGAGCAGCCTCATGATATTGTATGTGAATTAGAAGGACTTCTAAAGAGGAAGAAAGCCAAGAAGGGCAAGTTGTTTCAAAAGAAGTAGGAATAAGTTAAGCTTGGCAAATAGGCTTTATCCACAGATTCTACTCAGCAGTCATTTTAAGAGCGCCTACTGTGTGTTGGGCACCATGCAGAACGTTTCTGCCCTCAAGGATTCACATTCTTGTGGGAAAACGACTAGGAGTAGACGCTTCACAGTGCCATAGTGATACGTAGGAACAAAATGTGGCTGAGATGGTGGAGGAAGCAGTGCTTGAATGGTACTCAGTATCTGTTGCATTAATATAAATGAAATGTTGACTTAACTCTTGAAGGAGTGGCGGAAATAATCAAGGAGACAGGCAGATGTAACATCATGAGTGAAGGCACAGGGTGTAAAAGCATCTGTGTGCCTTGCTTAGCTCAGCAGCTTTGGAGTTTTCATCCCCTCAGAAGAGGCAAGAGTGATTTCTCTCTACCTCAGGCCAAGTGAGGATGCTGCAGGGAGCCACTCAACTAGGTGAGGTGTTTGCCTGGAGGAGAGGTCGAGCCTCTCCCTGTAGCTGGGTGCCTGCCGGGGACTGGAGTCCAGCACGTGGGAGAAGGCCTTGGAAGAGCCTGGCATGTGTCCCCCAGAATTTGGAGGCTGAATTACTGGCGTTTGGCTCTTGTCTGTGTAAATCTGATGGTAAGAAGGTGATTGGAGCTGCCTCAGTGGCAGGATGTTGCCGTCGTGATCATGAATGACTCCCGGCTTCTCTTTGGTAGATGAGAGCAGCCACTATAGAGAGATGAGACGGGCGAGGATGATCTCCCCCCTCTCCCCACAGCTTTGCTCCCAGGCTTCAATGAAAGCAGGTCTCCCCTCAAACTCTGTGACATGTGCAGTCAGAATCAAGCAGGCCAAACACGTCACTCAGCCTGTTCTGTAGGTTCATTGAAGCCCTGGATCTGTCCCTTTAGGGCCCCCCCACATCACCACTGATTGAAAAGCTCACTCGCAGGTAGACAGGGCAGCTTTTCCAATGTGGTTACCCTTGGCTATCTTATCCCCCTAATGCGCTGGCTGGAAACGAGGACCTCTACGAATTAAGCCTTGGGAGTGCCCTTCAGCGTCTGCTCCAGCCCTCTTGTCTGCCCCTCAGTTTCTTTGCCCCTCAGACTCTTGATATTATATAAATCTCACGTGTGTCTTACCAGAGACACCCTGTCTTAGGTGTTCTGCCATTTGTTTGTTTCTTTAGCCAAAATATCTTGGAGGTGATTTTTTTTTTATCACTTCATAAAGATCACCCTCTCATTTTTATGATTGCAGAGTACTCCATTGTGTACACGAGCCATTGGTTATTTAACTAGTTCCTTGTTGGTGGACATTGCACACATGCTGCAGTGTGTGTTATCATTCTTATGTCATTTTGTACATGGTGAGGATGTTTGTAGGTTAAATACCCAAAGTGAGATTGCTTGGCTGACGTGTATGGCATTCATAATTTTGATGCCTATGGCTGCATTGCCCTGCGTGGAAATACTAGTCGACACTTTTGCCAGCAATGTAGGAGCTCTTCCCCTCTGCCTTACCAACGGTACCAGCAGTCAGAGAGGTGAAAACTGGTCTCACTCTAGTTTTAAATCTGAGCCTGGGCATATGGACATATATCCAAGAACTGTTTTATTTCCTTTACTGTGAACTGATTGTTTGAATTATGTTAGAGTCCTTGTGAGAATGAGATGGAGAGATCCCTGTGAAGGGCTTTCTACAGAGCCTGTCATATGGGATGCGTTTTGTATGCTTAGTAACCGGAAGGGCTTTTGACAGGAAACAACACCTAAGTGTGAAATGCAGCTCTGCCCTGGACCTTGGCAAGTTGCTTAACCTCTCTGAGCCCATTTGCCCATCTGCGCTAGAAACTTTGCATAGACTGTTCTCATTGAAATCTCCCAGCAGTCTTATGAAAGAATATTAGAGCAATACGATCTGCCAGGGGACTCAGATGAAGAAACCTGACTCTAGGTTATGAGGTCCTTGAACAGCCATACAACCTTGATCAGTCTGTATTTAAACATCCAAATGCCATTTCATGATGATGAGTAACAATTGTGTTTGAGTTAAAGGCCCGCGCTGTTGGTATTACTTGTAAAGCTTCTCAGCTACAATTGGAGAGCATTTTATCCAAATGTCTTGTAGAGGGGAATTTTGTGTTCAGTTAACAAATTGCAACCTGCAGCTGATTTTATATTCACTGGCTACTTCTGTAGGAAAAACAACATAATGGTTAAAATAATGTCAAGTTGCCCTAATTGGTGTTTCAGTTGGTTAAAATTACTAATGTAAATATGTTGGAAAAGTTCTTTGATTATTCTCTTTTGGGTCACATTGATAATTTACTGGAATTTATTTCCCAAGTAAGATTATCCATTTAGAGGAAGGCTTTCTTACTGAGATTGCAACACTTGAATGTTTTCCATGGAAAGATGTTTTGAGGCAACTGTAGCTAGAACTTCTGTTACTTATTTAAGGTCCTTCAGCCTGTGTCTGCTTTCATTATAGTAAAAAGAGAAAAACAAACGTTGCTATCTGATAAGAAAGGATGTTTTTCTTCTGGTGTCACTGCTGTGTATCTATCTCTGCGTATGTTTACGTGAAATTGTT